AACTACTGGTTATGTGTTTACTTTTGCAAAGGCACCAGTTAGTTGGAAGTCTACTTTGCAGTCAACAGTTGCTTTGTATACAACAGAGGCAGAGTACATGGCTATTATAGAGACTGTGAAAAAGGCAATTTGGCTTCAAGGATTGCTAAAGGAGCTTGGTGTTGAACAAAAAAGTATCTCAATTTTTTTGTGATAGTCAAAGTGCTATTCAATTAGTGAAGAATCAAGTTTATCATGCAAGGACGAAGCATATTGATGTTCGGTATCATTTCGTACGAGAAATCATAGAAGAAGGAGGAGTCACGGTGAAGAAAATTCATACTACGGAGAATCCTGCTGATATGCTGACAAAGGTGGTGACTGCGATCAAGTTTCAACATTGTTTGGATTTGATCAACATTATTGAACACTGAAGATTGAAGATGAAGACACAACAAAAATTTGTTATTGAGAGAGAATTAAAGATATGGAATTTTGCCAAGGTGGAGATTTGTTGAAGTTTGGCAAAATGCCAAAGTCCCACATCGGTTGGGAGTTGAGTTTGGGGGGAATTTTCCCCCTATTAAAGAAGGTCTAATATTTAGGATTTAAACACACCTCTCATTTGCCTTCTCATCTGTTTAAGGCATTTGTATCTTCTCTCTTTAGTATTATTTCACTTGTATTTTTGGAGTGGAATAAAATATTGGTTGTATCCGAGGAGTAGGCAAAATTAGCCGAACCTCGTAAATTCTGGTGTTCCCTTTATTGTTACTTTATTGTCTTATTTATTATTTGGTGGCTGTCATAATTTTTGGTATAGTAGTTATGACTTATTCACACTATATACATTTGGCTTCCGCAACATTTTCATCCCTTGGAATTGAGTCAAACAGAACACTATTCATTGAGTCCAATAGAGTATTCTACAGTCACAATTAAGTAATCAATTGATACTGCAAACTTATGCTATGTCCAGATAATAGTTTGAAAAGGGAGGTGGATCCATTACTTTGTCTTTTTCTGCAAATGTAGATAAATGAAGATCAAACAGAACTAAAGCGAATTCAATTTCCAGTCAAAATTCCTTCAACGTACATGCAAATATTCAATATCTAGTCCTTTCACATGATTCTTAGAAATGGGGACTAGTTCAAAATCCATAACAGTGGTCACAAGCTGACAGAAAAAATGTTGTTTTCTACAAAAAGAGAACTTACAAACATACAAGGTTGCTGCAATATTCCCCCACAAATACCTTCGTCTGTTTTTTAGTATTAATTCTTCAAACAATATATGACTGCTAAGACCACCACTCATGATCACTATCACTACTAAGTGCAGCGTCGTCTTGCAACTCTCCTATGGCCTGTTGAGGATGAGAAGTGAGAAGAATATATTTGATATGATTTGAAGCAGGAAACCAGTATTATCTTGGTACTTCTTAATCATTGTTTCCCGTCGTTTTATAATGTATTGTTTTGTACTGTATTGTGTTGTACCATATTATTTTGTGAATACTATGTTTGGATAGAGTGGAATGATTGTTTTTGTTTAATAACATTTTACCTGTTTGGTCTAACTGTATTATAATCTGATAAGTATTACTGAAATGCCCGTAAATTTTTTAATATTGGATTTATCAACATTTACTCAAGTGAAGCAGTATTCAAAGAAAGATGTCATCAGTGATAAGTTAAACAATGTCAATGTTATAGGTAAATCAGTTCATTATTGATATTTATGTTGTTTCACTCTTACACAGATTAAGTCCAACTTTAAGGTCTGGAAATGTTTAGCCAGAGCACCATGTCTTCTACTAAACAAAAATCTGTCAGGTATATCTGAGCAGTCCTTAAATTTGTGGCTAAAGTACTTTTGTAATATAGTAAGGGCAGCCCGGTGCACTAAGCTCCCGCTATGCACGAGGTTCGAAAAGGGCTGGACCACAAGAGTCTACTGTAAGCAGTCTTATCCTGCATTTCTGCAAGAGTCTGTTTCCACGGCTCGAAACCGTGACCTCCTGGTCACATGGCAGCAACTTTACCAGTTACGCCAAGGCTCTCCTTCACTTTTATAATATAGTATTCTGTTAAATAAAACTGCAGCTTATTTTTGTAGTAGTTCTTCTACAAAGGCATGCTGTATTTTTTGCATTAGAGTCTGAGTTATGCACCACAAATAAATGTATTAGATTCCCTATTCTAATTATTAATGAAAGCTTGAATCTGTAATCAGATTTCCGAATGACCATGACATTGCAAAATCTGGATCATACAAGCCGGCAAAATTCCTTAAATCTTTCTCTATGAACAATGACGAACAAGCGTCTGATTCAAAGTCCGAGAAAGCAGAAATAGAGCCAAAAATGAAGATGTTCCGAAAGAAAAAGCTTTCAAGAGTATTTTCAGAGGACTATGAGGGTGTTCAAAGGAAGATATTAGATCCTCGAGGACGTCCCATAAACATATGGAACAAGTGTTTCTTAATTGCTTGTCTTACATCTCTATTTGTTGATCCACTCTTCTTCTATTTACCAAGTGTTAACGACGAAATCTGCATGGATGCAAGTTATCCTATGGAGATAGTCCTTACAATCGTTCGATCAGTAATAGATGCATTTTATTTGGTACAGATTTTAGTTCAGTTTCGAACAGCTTATGTTGCACCTTCCTCTCGCGTTTTTGGTAGAGGAGAGCTAGTCATTGATTCTTCAAAGATCGCTTCAAGGTATCTTCGGAAGGATTTTTGGCTTGATCTCTTGGCTACTCTTCCTCTTCCTCAGGTATAAACAAGTCCTTTAAGTCTATTGTAGTCTTTTCTCATATTCGATATGATGTTTGGTTGTTAAAAGTTCGAGCAGGAAAAGTTATAATCTGCTGGTATTTCCTCTGTACTGATATTGCTTGCCAAAAATGAACTGATAAATTGCTAGATATCATGTTTTTAGGCTCATACAACTTACATCAAATGCTACTTTCTGCTACCTATGGTTGCTTATCTCATACCAAACTAGTCCTAAAACTGTTTTCAGGTTTTGATTTGGGCTGCAATCCCATCTTTGAGAGGTTCGAATAGGATTGGTGCAAAACACGCCTTGCGCTTTACTATCATTTCTCAGTTTCTGTTGAGGTTATGCCTGATTTTTCCACTTTCATCTCACATTATCAAGACTAATGGTGTAATGGTGGAAGCTGCATGGGCTGGAGCGGTTTATAACCTTGTGCTCTTCATGCTCGCAAGTCATGTAAGTATACGACTTGTTTTAGAGTACACCAAATTTGTTGTTTCAAATTAACTAAATACCAAGTTCTATTATTCCATGACAAGCCTCAACCAGGGTAGGGGTAAGGTCTGCATACACACTTGACACTACCCTCCCCGGACCTCACCCGTGGAATTCCACTTAGTTGTTATTGTTGAAGCCTCAACCGTTGAGTTGGCCACCATTTTAACTATTTATCTTTTATAGGTTATGGGTTCTTGCTGGTACCTTTTTGCTGTAGAACGACAAGAACAGTGTTGGAAAAAGGTTTGTGATCAACAGCAACCGGATTGCCAGTATTGGTATTTTGACTGTCATTGGAAAGATTTTACTAGTAGAATCGCCTGGTATGAACGGAGCAATATATCTACATTATGCGGTCCTAGCAGCGACTTCTTCCAATTCGGAATCTTTAATGATGCACTGACTTTTAGAGTTACACAATCATCATTCTTGAACAAATATGCTTACTGTTTTTGGTGGGGTTTAAGGAACCTAAGGTAACAAACTGCACCTAAAGCTTTGTTATGTTTTCTTTGATTATGCTAACTTTCTTTAATTAACTTTTGCAGCTCTCTTGGGCAGAATCTTGTGACTACTACTGACATTAATGAAATTAATTTTGCTGTTGTTCTTGCAATTCTGGGATTATTGCTCTTTGCTTTACTTATTGGGAATATGCAGGTAAGTCATAGACAAATACATTGGATGATAAAGGGACTTAGATTTCGATCTTAGCCAAACTTGTACTGAAAATGTTTCATTGCTATGGATTAAATGTTTAATACCAGACTTTTCTTCAATCAACTACTATGAGACTTGAAGAATGGAGGATCAAAAGGACAGATACAGAAGAATGGATGCATCATCGCCAACTCCCCCACGATCTTAAGGAAAGGGTGCGCAAATATGACTTGTATAGGTGGGTGACAACGCGAGGCGTTGATGAAGAAGCCATTGTCAAAAGCCTTCCCGTGGATCTCAGAAGGGACATCAAGCGTCATCTTTGTCTTGATCTAGTTCGTCGAGTGAGTATCATTTTCTTCAATCCCTTAACTTCTCCTTTATAAACAACCTATTGCTTTTTAGTGGCTAAGCCACCTTATGTTAAGGGATGTCAATTGATTTTTATGCAGATATACTACTCCCTTCGTTTCAATTTATGTGAACCTATTTCCTTTTTAGTCCGCGCAAAAAAGAATGACTCCTTTCCTTATTTGGAAACAATTTACCTTTACACAATGATTTATAGCCACACAAAATATATGTGCCTCATTTTACACCACAAGATCAAAAGTATTTTCTCTTTTCTTAAACTCCGTGCTCAGTCAAATGGGTTCACCTAAATTGAAACGGAGGGAGTATATGTTTTGACACCCCTTAGTAAAATTTCTTGCTCCGCCACTGCTTTCCACTAACGTATTTTCATAATCTTGATCCGGCAGGTTCCTCTATTTGATCAAATGGATGAGTGTATCTTGGATGCAATATGCGAAAGGTTGAAACCGCTTCTATATACATCAGGAACTTGCCTTGTTCGCGAAGCTGATCCTGTGAACGAAATGCACTTCATTATAAGAGGCCATTTGGATTCTTACACTACTGATGGAGGGAGAACAGGTTTTTTCAATTCATGTCAACTAGGTCCGTGCGATTTCTGTGGTGAAGAACTACTGACATGGGCGTTACACCCTCGTCCGAGCATCATCCTCCCGTCCTCTACACGTACAGTGACAACGATCACTGAAGTAGAAGTATTTGCACTCACTGCAGAGGATGTAAAATTTGTGGCATCACAGTTCCGGAAGCTGCATAGCAAGCAACTCAGGCAGACGTTCAGGTTGTCAAAATAGCAAGGGCTAGCCAGTTTTCGGACTGATAATTGAAAAATAGCCAGCATTTACAAATTCATTGAAAATTAGAGACTATTTTGCTGCAACAGGGAAAGTTCCAACATAATATACTAGAGATTAAAGCACTTGTGTATGAACTTCCAGCAGATTATGTTGGAACTCCAGCACACGGAAAGTTCCAGCATATTACATTGGAGATTGGAGCACCTGTGTATGGACTTCCAGAATATTATGTTGGAACTCCAGCATATTATGAAATTCCAGCATGTTATGCTGGATATTCACATGTAAAAAATTCGAACTCCATTATATTATGCTGGAATATTTTCGGAGTTTGAACAGTGTTTTTGTTCAGATTTATCTTTTACATGAAAAGTGGCTAAATTTCGCTTACTTTTGAAACTGTGGCCATTTTTCAATTACCACTTATAAATTTGGCTATTTTTGAATTTCTCCCGTTCAGGTTTTACTCGAACCAATGGAGGACTTGGGCTGCATGTTTCATACAAGCAGCGTGGTTTCGCTACAAGAGGAGGAAAGAGGCTGCTCTACTTAAAGCTAAGCAGAGCCCCGCGGCTGCTCCTACTGAACTACGCGATGAAAGAAGAAGTGTATCCTTGGGACAAAAGGCTTCAGAATTTGCTGTATATGCTGCAACATTGGCAGCAAGCAAAAGAAAAGGCGGAAGCATGAGGGGAGAACTAGAAATCATTAGTTCATTACAAAAACCAGTAGAACCTGATTTTTCAGTTGAGGATAGATGAAGGGAAATGCTGGATTGTTATGTTATCTATGTTGTTCCCACTCTCCGAAAATATTGCCGGGGCGTTTCGGATCCTCCAAAAGTAGTGTATTTTTAGAGAATTCAATACGGGTGCGGCAGAATTTTGTAGAGTCCGCACCACATAGTATATTTTTTTTATATATGTTAAGGTGGTGCTTCCACTCTTTTGAAATCCCAGATTTGAGGGATTAATAAACTTGCACTTTTGAGTAAGTCTGATGAAAAAGTTTCCAGCATTTCAACCGAGGAGAATACACCTTGCTATTATATATGGGTCCTCTGTAACAACAATTTAAATAATGACTACATATTTACTACTATTAGTCTCTGAACACGTGCTCTGAACACGTGCGTTGCACGTGTGTATTACGTGTTAAAAGTATAAAGTTCTAATATGAGAGGATATTAGATGATCTTTTTATAAAAGATATGTAAAAAATAACATAGGAAATCGTTAGGGTCATTTTCTTTTATTCAAACAAGTTGGTTAAGAAAGACAAAAACTCTCTCTATCTCTCAGCCTGATTTAGTTGATTGGCTAAATTAAGCGCTCACACCAAAAAAAAAAAAAAAGAGAGAAATGATATATAGATGGCTAAAAATTGTGGCAACCACATTGCATTTATAAATGGCCTCAAACTTATGTTTCTTTCTTGTCCATTTTCATCTTCTTTTTCTAAATGTAGATTGTTTTGTACAATCAGTACATATAATTATTTGTGCAGTCAAACTATTCATATTAGTAAAGACTATGCAATAATACCCCCTGCATGAGCAACAGACATAAGGAGAAAGAATCTTGACTTCGAGAAAAAAAAAACATACCAAGTCGCGAATAACTAAAAAAGAATGAGTAGATATCCAATAGTTCATTCTTAATTATGGTTTAGTATGACAGAGGCTAAATTCTTCCAAAACAACATTTATTTGGATGTCATCAGTTAATTAGTTCTACATCATATCACTATATACTACATTTCTTCTAGCAAATTACATAAATTGGCTAAACTATTTGTTATCGACTCCACATCAAGGCACGAGAGCTGTAGTTAAGGTCTTAAGGATGAAGAAATTATCACTTCCCTACAATCCTTGTTGATATAAACTATTTGTTATCAAACACATTACTAACTTTAGTTTCCATATCTAAGTTTTGTCCTCTACCAAATTATACCAAATTTCAAAAGAACTTTCGTCGAGTAAACTTAAAGAATTCTGATAACAAACATGAAACCGAGACTCTGAGTTTATTCCCATCTGAAAACTCAACATTACAATTATCAAACACTGATTGTGCAGTTAATTTAAAAAATAATGAACTAGGAAATATTTTACCTGACTTAGCAAGCATAAATATCAAAACTTCTTTGAGCCCATAGCTTGTAGCATATTATCTTCTCAGTGCACGTCTTCGATGATACACAACTTTTAGCTCCTTGGTGCATTATACTGGCACCATCTGATGTCTCTCTATCAAGAGGACGAAGATGCAACTGCAACAGAAGTAGCAATATATTCGTGGAGAGCTTTGTGACCATTTGTATTTTCTCTACTCAAAAGTTTCATGAATTCAGTTCATAATGTTATAAGCAGTGTTTTAAAAGATGAGGGCGTGAGGCGGAGCGTTTTACTTAATACGGGGCGAGGCAAAAGCCTCGAGACATGAGACGTAAGCCCCACGGATCTTTATTTTTTAAAATTTATGAATTAATAATATAGCATTATAACACAATAAAATATAAAGGATGCATTAAAAGTTCAAGAAAACTAAAAAGAATTAAAGAAACTCATACAAAATAAAATATTTAGCATATTTTACAAGTATAAATAATACAATACGGTTAAAGTTACTATGAAATATAAATTAACTCCAACCTCTCAACTTTCAAACAATTAAAAATCATAATTTTTTCAAAAATATTAGCAAACTGCATATTTTACCTCTTTAAAAGTAAATACACAATAAATATTTTAATACTGTAATTTAAAATATTACTCCTTCACGAGTAAACATAAAATTATTTTTAAATAGTAAAATAAAAGAATTATGATTATTTTGAGAGATATAGAACTAAGACATGTAGATCTATCAAGATATAAGTTTTGGTTATCTATTTTTAGAAGAGATATTTAAATGATATTCATCCTCACAATGTTCTCAATTAGTAAGTATGCAATAATATATTTTGTTATTTGAGTTATTCATAATTTTCATATTTCTATAGAAAAAAAGAACTTTAATCATTCATTTGTTAAAGAATTTTGAGAGTTAACAGTGCAAATTAGTGAATTCAACACATGATTTGTAACTGTTGGGGCGAGTCCCGAGTCTAGAGCGTTAGGCGTGTTGATCACGCCCAACTATGCCTTATAAAAAGGACAAAGCGGTCGTTGCAAATATAATCCGATTTATAAGTCCGGAGTCAAATCCCACAGAGAACTAAGGCTTAGCTACAGTTGTTCACTATCACCAAGAATACAAGCTTGAACAATTCTTAACTTATAGATATTAAGATTCTTGTGTTTAACTAACTAACTAATAAATTAAAATAATAAGTTAACACTAAAAATATTACAGGTTGGAAAAAAGATTAAGGAGGTCTAAATTATGTCAAAAGTATGTCCAACTTCTTCAAAATACCGTTTTCCATGTATATATACCAAGTAGGGTTGGGCCCAAATAATTATACCTTCTCCTACGCGAAAAAGGACACATTTTCCGGATAGGACGTGTGCGGCCGCGCTTGGAACGCGCTCAGACCGCGCATATCCACTTTGATTCTGCCTGACGAGCGCGGCCTGAGCGCGGCCGCGCTATTGATGCGCACTTTTCACCCTGTTCCGTTTGGAATTTGGAAAAACGTAAAACATGAAAGTTATAGCTATTTGAGTTAGATTTCCAACCATATATTGTGCAGCCCAAATGAAGTTCTGAGAAAAATGTTATGTGCATTTTACAAAATAGTGCACAATATGCCTACTCGATTCTTCGTTTGTTCTAACTATCATCTATTGACCCCCGAACTCGATCCTAGCTTAATTTATTGAGCTTTTACTCAAACTTCAAAGCTCCAAATCACTTTAATTTATTTCACAATATCTACATAGCTCGGAATCACTCCTACAAAACATAAAATACACAATTAGTGCAAGACACTAGTGATTAAAGCTCAAACTCAATTAAAGTGCAGTAAATTTGAGTGTAATAAGCGACTAAAATACGTAATTATAGCCTATCATCAATACCCCACACTTAAACCATTGCTTGTCCTCGAGCAATCAAACTACACTTTATATAGACATGACCATTTTTTAAACAATTCTCCTAACTCATCACAGCAAGAATATTTAAAATAGACTAAGCACAAAAGCGTAACATCTTCACCTCAAGATTTGACTCACAAGTACCACACATTATTCACAACTCACCCACTTACTCTAACATAGAGATCACTGACATTACCTTTCCTTCATGATTTAAGTGCTGTCACACAATAAAAGAGAGTAGTTCTACACAATAAAATTTAAGAGCACTTAGGAACTCAAGATAGAAAGAATTCACTCACTCTCAGAAATAACATACATATGCCACAAAAGATGCACCATAGGCTTGCCCGTAGTGTACTACTCTACTAATCAAGCTCATTCAGTCTAGGATCAAGTAGGACTTTATTTGGTTGTAATGTAGTCTACGGGATGAGTAAGATTCATTTAGATATAAGAGTGACTACACCTCCCTAAGCACTTTAATACATATACTTTAACATTCAAACCCCACACTTATGTCAAACCATGACTCCACATTTACATCAATATATATTAACTCCATACTTCTTTAAGCTTAAGGAATGATTCCTGGAGATGTAATTTGGTTGGAGTTTAGTTAAATGAAGACTACATTCAAGTTGATGTCCCTGTTGCTTTACTATTTTTTTTGGTCATATTTTGTACTTAGGCTTTGAATTATAGACATTAATTAGTCTTTCTTTTCTGAAACAGTGTGTGTAAGAGTAACCCATAGAGTATTTCGCATGTGTATTGATAAGTGGACTATGGACTTTGATTATTTAGGTTCATGTTTGATTTTAAGTTTTGGATCACCACTACTGTTAGTATTCTGCTGAAATTGCCATGTTCTAGTCTTGAAAAGCTGGCTGTTGGCATGTATGTGTGTTGGTTTATACAAACGCAATTTGGAAGTGCTAATTACTACTTGACAGTTGATATGAGTTTTAGTATTCAAAAGAAAAGCTCATATGTAGGTTGATTTTTTAGGAAGCATGACTATATCAGCAAGGTATGTCAATGATGTTTCAATTTCCAATATGTGGATGATAATCATGTGAATGTGTTAGATTATAACTAGTATGAGCGATGAATTACTTGTTTTTTTTTTATTTAAAGGTTCAGCAGTAAGCATGTTCACTTAGTCTCCAAATTCCAATGATTGCCCACTTGCAGTACTTCGTTAATTAATAAATGAAGTTGTAGGAACTTAAAAGGGATGTTTAGGAATGATTGTTTATTAATTCCAATCGAGGTTTCTGTATTAGTGATTATTAAGTCCATTGTTGAGATTGTTCATAGACCTATGGTGTTCGAATGTCCTTGTTATTGTGCTTTCCAAATCTGAATTACATTCTGCTACTGCTCGGATCCAATCATGACCTCTTTGACATCCCATTTGAGCAATGCCTCATGAAAGTTTGGGCTCTCTATTTTAGTCCAGATAGGGTCAGATTGGAACCCGTATTTTGCATCATTGTGTTCCTTCGAGCTATTGGGCCTCACCTTAGGCCAAGCCCGAATTCTGAAAACTAAAGATAGACTAGACTTTACTTCACTTTAATTTGGACCCATGTTTGAGTTCAGCCGAGATTCCAAAGTAGGTGTAATTCCTTTAAGCCTTATTTCATTGATGGGTCCTTGGCTAGCTGAGGTGCGTCGTGCCAAACAAAATGTCAATCGTATGGCCCTAGT